ATATATATATATATATATATATATATATATATTAAACTGCAATCCCTTATAATATTTCATCATCACCGAAACTTCAAGTAGACTATTTTCAATTTTATTTTCTAATATAAATAAAAAATATCTCCCATACATTTGAATACAGCCATCACATAGCTTTTTCTGCAAAATCAGTTTTATAGTTGTGCAAATAATTTTCAAATCGATTTGCGTTTGGTCTTTGAGGCAACACATCCGTTTACTTGAATGTAAATTATATTATTGTAACTGGCTATATGTATAGGTTTGGTTTGGTTAATGTTTTTAAGCCTATTGAAAAGTTTTCTTTATGGATTGCCCTCTATTTATTTTATCAAATCATCCACTCTGACCAGCTTTACTGCTTGAGAAAATTCTCCCCACTGAATAATGCTGCCACCATCATGACTAAAATAATAAATAGCTAAAATCATAAACTGTAAAATACTATTTTGGTCCATTCTGTTAAGATAACCTTTCTCACAACTTTGTCCCATACATAGGTTTAAACCTGAATTCTTTCTTTCTTTGAAGGCAAAATTTGTTGTCCCTTTGACATATTCTCTGAATTGAGCAGCAGATATCTGAAGCTCCTCCAGTGCTACCATGAACATCTTGCTATTTGTGCTAACAAGTACTCTCCTTTGATCCAACTTGGTTATACTAATGACAATTCCTTGTTAGATTTGCTTATTTCCTCTGTACTCTTTACATTTTCAGATGCTGAATGTATCAGTATCTTTTTTATTTGTTTTATAAGATAATCTTTATAAGAGAACCTTTACAGAACAGCAGTTATCTGCATGGAGAGTAATTAGCAAAGGAATTATTCTTAACCTAATGACTATGAAGAAAATCAAAACTTTTACAAACAAATTTTCTTTTTTTTGTTGTTCTTGCTTTTTATGAAAGTAGGAGAAGACATCCTGAAGAGCTGCTGCAAAGAATGATAGCAACAGATACAACAGATGTTCAACAAAATACAAATCTATAAGGTTGTTTCTTGATTAACATAATTTATTTTACCTTTACTGGTGCATTAGACATCTAAACATTCGAAGTAATTAAGTAAGGTTTTGAATTATGAAAAACTATACTGTATGTAGATCAGAGATCGGAAGTAACAAAGTACAAATACTTCGTTACTGTACTCAAGTAGATTTTTCTGATATTTTTACTTTACTTTACTACTTATTTTAATGGCGACTTTTTACTTTTACTCCTTACATTTTTACACAAATATCTGTACTTTCTATTCTAACATGTTTATGAAGTCATTTTAATTTGCCAACAGTGTAATTGGTTCCTTTTTGACACAACTTCCTTTATAAGAATTTAAATTTTTTAAAACTTAAAATACAGTCACTTCTTCAGCATGTCGTCTTTGAATTAAAGTGCTGACTGTGAGAAATAGGTTGATTTCTGGGACAAAATTAAAAACAAATCTTGTTGGAAAAGTTTTACAAGAACATAAAAATATCTTAGATGTTTTGCCTCAAATTTCCCATCTGTTCAGTAACAAAGTTCAATTGAAAAACATGAGCAGTTGTAAAAGAGATTTAGTGCTTAGATCTCATCGATGCCATTCACACAAACTTGAGAATATCACACCACGCTGCTACATTGTGTTCATGTGCTTCTGTTAAAGCTAAAAGCCGGGCTTACATGTTGCGTCCTTCTTCTCAATGAGCCAGTAGCAGTAGTCTCTTCTGGCCCAATCATTGAAAACATTCCTGTACTGAGGCATGTTTTGGGGTAAGATGATAGATTTTGGTGTTCCTATCAAAAAAAGATAAAAAATGTGAGGAGATTTTGAAAAACACATTCATAGTTAAAAACTCTGATGTTTCACCTACTGTGTCGTTTTGTGGATATAGCAAGATGGCTGGCTGCATTTTCACTCAGAGGTGGTAACAGGCTGACCTTAACTTAATGCTTTTCATTTTCTGCTTAAGAAAAAACTAAATTGCAAAAGCATTTTTTCAGCTGTTTCGCTTGTCTTGTTCCATGAACAATTTATAGGGACTTTAATCAGGATTTACTGAGCTAACTCAGTTCAATCTGAAAAACTCACAAGAAGAGAAAAGACAATTAGAAGAAATTTATTGATAGAATTACTTTGTCTTTGGGGCTCAGACCTCGGCAGGAAACATAGCACTTAATTTTGATAGATATGCATAAACAGGAGCAAAGAATAGGGCTGTTTCCCCCCAGGCCTGAAACTGGTGGTGGAGTGGAGATAGATGAAGGTGGTCAGTCTGTAGACTGCTGGTTAGCAAGACGGTCTGCTGAGCTTTATGGGGAGATCCAGTGGATTGTGTGAGCTGATACTAGAGCTTCACTCAGGGACCTGGAAGATGGAAGTCCAGTTGGATAACACAGGTTGAGAGAACTTGTCCATGATGAGCAAGCATGAAGCAACAGAGGAGAGGAAAAACTCCCCGTTGAGAAGAAACCTCTGGCAGAACCAGGCTCAACATGGTGGTCTTCTGCCAGACCAGTAAAGATGAAACAGGGAACGCAGTAAGAGTCCGGGAGGAATGACACTCTGATGAAGCTTTAGCTACGATGGTGGAGGAGGGGATGGAGGTGGGTTGAAACTGTGTCATCTCAATGAAATCACACAGCGCATCCTCTGCCTGCGCACAGGAGCAGACACGTGCGTATCAGAGGCCTTTTAAGATGAACTTTGGATTCCGATTAGCTTTTGTGGAGGTGTGGTTCAAAGCTGATTGGCTGTGTCGCAGGTGGATGTAAAAGAACAATCAGTTTCTTCAGTTAAACTTCCGCCTAGGCTCCATAATGGATAAAAAAGTAATGTTAAAGTCTCTGGAAACATTCCTATTTGTAATTTCTTTATTTTTCTTCGACCTAAACCTTTAAACTGTGGTTGGTAAAAATTTAATTCTGTATGTTGAATTCTGCCATGCAATGGACTGGCGACCTGTCCAGGGTGTACCCCGCCTCTGGCCCATTGACAGCTGGAGACCACCTGCACCCCTCGTGACCCCACTTGGGAGTGTGTTAGAAAATGGATGGATGGATGGATGGATGGATGGATGGATGGATGGATG